GCAAAATCAGACCGCCCAAGCCCATCATTCTCCTCCCTCTGCCAGCCAGCGACCTCGAAGACCTCAAAGAGGGTGAGAAGCCCAGCGAGAACCGTAAAGTCGAACTTCCGCGCGAAGTCGTCCCCCGGCCTGAAGGGATCGCCTGGACACACAAACTCCACCGCCCTGTCTACCTCCTCCGCCGCGGCATCACCGGTTCGGACTCAGATGGCGACAGCGTCACCACAGACGGCAGCGTGGCCGTCGACGCCGGCACCGCCCCATCTCCTGTTCCCCTGCCCATCAGCCCCCAACCCCAGCGTCGCCGTCAGGGCCAACCCGTCAATGGTATTCGGGACAACATCGACCTTAACGACCTCCTTCTCCCTCGCATGGCCGAGCCCAAGCCTCGCGGTCGTCAGCGGGAGAGAGACCCCTCCCCAGTTCCAGCTGAAGACAAGAAGGAGATCGTCATCGAGCCGGGTGCCGTCCTCTTCGAGGGCGTGCCCTTCCAGCGTCCCCGATCCTACTCTCCCCGTCTCTACTGGGGCGTTCCCAGGAACCTGATGCGTCGCCGGTACGCTGAGGAGGAAGCTGCCATCATCGCCAAAATCAAGGCCGAGGGCGGTGTTCCTTTCGAACCGACATACCCACCCGAGCCGCCTGCGGTGCCGATTCCCATCCGCAACCCCAGGAAGCGCGAGCGGCTTCCCCCGCCTGACTCTTACTTTTCCTGGCACTGATGGTGGCGTTACGAATATGACGAGAGATCGCGACTCCTGGGAAGTATGCGACATGATATCATGAAGAAGACTGGCTGAGGACAGCCATACGATACAATGAAGGATGGTGCGCAAGCACCCGGTTCGGCGTTCAGGAATTTGCGAGTGGCATGTTTTGCCTCTCATCTTTTCGTTTCCTGCCCATTTCTTGAGCAGAGAAGCACCAAGAGACCACGATCATTGTGGAGGAAATACCCTGTACTAGTAAAGACAAGACTGAGATGCCCTCGAGCACTCACCTAATGATAATCACATCTGAAGCACCTGACATCACATCACAGTGACAGACACCCACGTGAAAACTACTAAAGACTGTATTGCAAAACTGCCAAGAAGCAGACGAACGCCGTTGATGCCCGGGTTTGGAGAAGCAGAACAGAGAAGAATACAAGAGACCAGGCGCGCGCACGATATGCAACAGCTAGTAGATAAACAAAAAAGAAGAGTCAACGCCCCCGTGGGATTCAAACTCCCAGTGTTTGCCCTTGAACACAGCAAGGGACGCGTCCCTTTCCCCTCAGAGACTTCCGTCGAAGAGGACGTTGTTGGTAGATGTACACGTAAGAAAGAGGGAGGCCGTCCCGAGCCGATCCGTCTATACCGCGAGATGCCCGGCCCTGACCCTTCGACTTCAAGCCGGGGCGGGGCCGTGTGCCTCCCTCCGGTTCCAGACCCGTATAGATGGAGTGAGTGCTTTTGATGACAGAAAGAAAAGAAAATGCCGGACCGCTTAGAACGGAGCAGCCATATTGCGCGCGTAGGTGGCAGCATCGTCAGCGCGGGCGGCGTGCGCGCCTGGTTGCCACTCGACGCCTGGTCGGTTCATCCTGTCTCGCAGCACGCGGGAGATTGTGTTGGAGTCGAGATTCATCGCGGCGGCGGCGTTATCGAGAGCGCGCCTGGCGTTTGCTGTGGGAACGGCGGGTGCGGGAGCTGGTGCGGCTGCGGGTGCAGGTGACGAACCCTTGAAGCCTCCGTTGACGGCGACGACGACAACGACAACAATGGCAACGATGATGATGATGGCGACTGGGGTCTGTTAGCGGGGGATGTGCACGGGCGTGGCAAGAGAACATACCACAGATGGCGAGGCACCACCACTTCTTCTTGCGCGTGGAGCGAGCAGTGTTGACAGCGACCTCAATCTCCTCGTTACCCTTGATAAGGTTCTCGGCGACTTCCTCGCCCTTCTGCTCAATCTGGGCAACAGCCTCCTGCTGCTGGACAACAATAGTATCCATATCCTGGAACATCTGTGCGAGCTCGACCATCTGGCGCTCGATGCGCTGAATCTCAGCATGGCGGTCCTGGACAGCGTTGAGGGCGGCGCGGGCCTGTCCCTGGCGACTGCTCTGCATAAGGGCTTGGCTGAAGACGGCGCCGCCATCAGGGTCTGAGACGGCCTGGCGAACCTCATCCTCGCCGGCCTCGGGCCGCACGATACGGTACTGGCGGGCCATCTGGTCTTGGGTCTTCTTGCGGAACTGCGACTCGACTTGCTGGTATTGCTGGATGACGGTCTTGAGGCGGCGGTCGATGCGGCCGACCTGTGGCGAGTTCTTGGACGACTGCGAGTCAGGGTTCGACTTTACGGTGCGCACGCGCTCGACGAGGGCGCGGTACATGTCCATTGTCTCGTTGCTGAGGCCCTCGAGCTGTCGCTTGGTGGCGCTGTTGCCCGATGTGTCGGCGTCGGAGAGGGAACGGTCTTGCAGCATGCGGAGCTGGCCGAGGTTGTTCTCGACTTCGTCAATGCCTTGGTCGATGGAGCGGCACTCGTTAAGAATGGCGTTGGGGTTGCTGGCGGCGCCGCCGCCGTATCCACCGCCGCTGAGCGAAGTCATCTCCACGTTGGAGCCTGGTTGTGGTTAGCAAGGTCGATCGGTCAAGGCGCGTCTTCGGGGTGGCGTACCACCATATTGGTTGTCGCTGTACTGGTTGCCGCCATAAGACTGGCCGTAGGACTGCTGAGGGCCGCCATAGCCGCCATCAGTTGCCCCCCGGTCGTCAAAGGGGTTCTGTCTGCCACCGTATCTGTCCATTGGTGTCAGCACTGACTGCGATATCGGTCGAAAGTATGTGCGCGTGCGTGCGCGTCGTATCGAACATACCCGTACTGTTGTGGTTGCGCCATGTTAGCTGTGTTCTATCAAAGAAGCAATGTGGTGGCAGAAGTGTGTTGTCAGAGAGAAGAGGAAACAGAGCGCGGCTCCGTGAGAGATTGTGGGATGGAATGGACAGCAATGACGAGTGGTCGGGTGTCCAGCGCCCGAGCAGAGTGGTGCAATGGCATCAACTACAGCATGAAGTTGCAGCGGGCGTGACGTTGGAGGCAAAGGGCAGAGAAGAGACGAAGGGCAACAGGACGACCAAGGGTCGAGCCAAGGACGGAGGAAGTGGAAGGCGGTCCCGCCGCAACACTCCAGGCGAAACCTGGAGAGTGCGAACCGGCAGGTGAAACACTCACGCTCATGATGCTTGCGGAAGCGCGTCTGGCTTCTTCCCTGCAGCTTGTCTATGGAGCTGGTTTCGGAGATCGGTCCCGCTGGCCGGGGGGGAGGTTCGAGCGCTTGGTCTTTGGGACGAGGGTGCGTCGATGATCAGGGTAGGCAGGTGTCGGGTCGGTTAGCGGACGATTATGCGGAACGTGTCGGTGACGTTTCGAGGGTTGTTGCTGGTCGTGCTGGAATGCGAATTTGGCGGGGGAGGAGGAGGAAGCTGTCGAAGAGGGAGAGGGAGACGAGAGAAAGGAGGTGGTGGACACCTAGAAAAGTGCTGCGGGCTGTCTTGGGCCTTTGGGGTCTGGCCGGGCCCTGGCAACCTGGTACCCTGGGATGATCGACCGTCGGGAAAGGGGGGGGAGCGTGCGGCGCGTGCCTGATGGTGGTGGCGGTGGGTGGTCGTCTTGTCGTCAAGGTGGTAGTCGAGGAGATTTGTATTCAATGGAGAGGTCGAGATGGTTCAATGGTGGTAGGCTAGCACGGGTGACGGACGAGCGACGGGCAAGATGCAATTCTGAACCGTCTGTATCCAAAATGTCAAAATCAATTGAAGCGTTTGATGGGCGTGCCTTTGGGCCGAGAACAAAGGACCGGACCCCCGTCTTGAAGGGTGTGGTGGGTGTCGAGGCGAGGGAAAGAAGGCCAAGCAAACCGAAAGAAAGGAGACTGGCCGAGTTGGGCGCGTGTTTGACTCGGGCGACGATTGGCTCGGGACCGCTTTTTAGGGGCAGATTGTAACAGAGTTGGCGGCCTTGAGCCAATCAGTACGGGGGCCAGGGGGCGCAGGTCCCGGCTTGGTAGGAGCAGGGGGGACGCTCGAAACAGCGGGCCAGGCGTGTGGTGCCCCGTTTCGGAAGCCCCTTATGTCAGCTTTTTTTTCGTCCAGGGGGGCAGGAACCTCGAGATGAGGGCTCGAGTCAGGCCGGGGAGGCGAGAAACAAAAGAACGTAAAGTCTTGAGGTATTTCGATCTCGGGACAAAACGCCGGGCCCGGCATCTTTATCAATGCCTTGCCCTCCCGTCCCGCGATTATGGACATGAGGGGTAATCCATTTCAGCCCAGTCTGATCCAGCAGAGACATCAAGCATCCACACCGATTCAGCCCTGGCGTGCAGTGCAGCTCCAGCTGCTGACAAGCCTGCACCGCCTTGCCTGCCAGTGACGGTGAGCTTGAGTCTTAGCTTGTTCCCCGCCACCGGGCGCATCTGCATCCTTCGTCCCAAAATAGTCTGCTCTGCGAATCGCCCAGCCTGCGGCTCCGCCATCGACAACCGGCCAAAGGCAATGCTCCGCCGGTCGAACCATCATCCGCGCCATGCCGCCGCCGCATCCGGGGACGAATCGCCGTTGGTGCACACTTTCGATGCAGCATTTTGACATTAGACTTGAGTTTTGGAGAGCGGCAGATGGGAGCTCCGTTTTGAGTTTGGAGCTGGGAGCTCCCGTCCTTTTGGATTGCTTAGTCATCGGGGTTGGACAAGATCCCGACGACAACAACCTCCACTCCCAAACATCACCACTGTCTACGAGGTGCATCAAAAACCTTCACGCCCTTCTCACAAAGTATCGCCCTTGTCTACCCGCTTGTTCGCACTCCGCAGCAGCAGCATCGTGACCACCTGCCAAAGCACCGCCGCATCGTAACCTCCCCGGAAACCAAAACACAAAAAGACCCCCTCCGGGCACCCAGTATTAGGGATCCGGAGGGGTAGAAAACCCCCAGGCGTGAAGGGGATTTTGCTGAGCGCGGGAATCGAACCCGCGCCTAGGCGCCGTCGTGGCCATGGCGATTGTTTAGTAGTGTCCTGGTCTACCGACTTAACCACTCGACCACCTGGCGACGCCCGATGGGAGGGATGGGAAGGCGCGGGGTGATATGGGATACGTGGGTGGGCGACGAATTTGCGCGCACCGCGCTGGCCTGCATCTCGCGTCGATGCTCGTCCCGCCCTCCAACACCCGGTTGACTTGCGGACAACCGTGCTCAAGTAGATGCCCGCAGCCCCCAACGGGTCCGATAATGATCGTGATGGCCACCGCCCGCCGCCCAACTCCCACGATATTGTTTGCCCGCCAGACCAGCGTCGTCACAACCAGCCCACTGGCTCCCGCCTCATTCAAAAAGTTCCCCAGATACCGCGCAGGAACCCCGCCATGCAGAGTCCCACAACGTCAATGACCCTGGGAAATGGCAAACGGTCCGCGCATTTCGCCAGCTATGACATGCCATGGCCTCGACTATCTATGGAGAAGAGTTTCTGTGGGGTGCTCAGGAGGAAGGACATTTCGAGTGAACATCCTGGCCCGCCAGAGGATCCTGGTCCTTCTCGTCCAGGGCGAAGGCATGATGTGGTCCAACGAGCAAAGCCTAGCTAGATGATCACTATGAGACATGCTCTCGGAGAGAAGATCCCGTGTCCAAATAATCCGCCTCAACCCGCGTGGAACCACAAGTTCGTCCTGCCGATCAGTGATCACCCCAGGCTTCCCCGCGTACGACCCCCCCGCCGTCGGTGATCTGACCAAGGGCTGGTGACACAGTTGACAGGGGCGGGTTAATCTCATTGTCTCAGTCACTCGAAGGACTCTCCTGGCTAAGTATGAGCTTGGACAAAGGTCTCGATGAAAGGTCCGTAGGCTTCTGTCTTTGCGGACGCCAGCGGGGGCGGGAGCTGGGACCCCCGGACAGCTTTCACGGGGCCTCGAAGTAGTTCGAGCATCAAATTTCTGCAAGAGTGCGTCCTAGTTGTCTGTTTCATGAGGCATCGAGGCCCGTAGGAGGGGAATGATGTGGTGAAGGCGGTGGCCTAGATCTTGAATTGGACAGGGCCGAGTGACATTGGAGGATGCTGGTCAGGCACCATACGATGTTCGAGCGATGTCAAGAAGTTATAAGATTTCATAAAGACTAACATGCGCTTGTATTTATGTATTCTGTGGGCTCGTGCTTTGAGTTTGTGTTCGGCGAAAGTTGAGTCAAAATTGGATTTTCATTTGCGCTTGAAACTGTTGCAAATGCAATCCAACTTCGGTTCAACGTTATTCTCCCCAGACCGATGAAGACATTACACCCCTTTTTCACCCTCTAGAAATATAACACTACGTAATCAGATTCCAATCCAGCCCGCATGGCCATCTTCTCAGGCAATCGGGGATTTGTTTATGCTGGGCAACGCAGCCGGAGTCGAGATCGGCCTCCCGTCAGAAGTCGGACTTTGGAGACCCACTCCCCCAGCCGGCGCCGGTCCGGCGCCGAAATGCCTCAAGTCGGCCTCTTGGCTCACCTTGACGCCGTCTCAACTTGTTGAGACTGATTTTCAAGAACCTCACCTCCATCAACCACCACTAAACGCATTCTCATCTTTTCTTACCTCCTCCGCACCATGGGCGACTCACAACCAGGGGTCCTCCCCCTCGCCGAGCACCTCGCCGCCCTCCTCCCCACCACAGATCGAACCTCCCTCGCCCAGTCCGTCATCCCCTCCCTCATCCAGTCCATCGCCGACATCGCCGATACCCTCCGCGTCTCCCACCACGTCGCTCTCGCCGGCACCGCAAACGCCTTTGGCGACGACCAGCTCAACGTCGACGTCGCAGCAGAAGCCATCCTCCGCACTGCTCTTGCTAGCTGCCCCTCCGTCGTCGCCGCCAGCAGTGAAGAAGATCCAGTTGAAGTAGCCGTTCCTCACGAAACTGCAGCCACCTCTCCAGAACGCTACGCCGTCGCTTTTGACCCCCTCGACGGCAGCTCCATCATCGCGCCCAACTGGACAGTCGGCACCATCATCGGCATCTGGGACGGTCCTACAGCACTCGCTCAAGACCCGGCCACCGCCCAAATCGCCTCTATCCTCGGCGTGTTTGGCCCTCGCACCACAGCCGTCGTCGCCATACGCGTCCCCGGCGGAACCCCATCCTGCTTCGAAGTCGCCATCGATCCCTCCCCAGCCCGCGCCCACACCGTCATCCGCCCCTCCGTCCGCCTCAACTCCGCGCCCCACAAGACCCGGTACTTTGCCCCGGCCAACCTCCGTGCTGCGGCCGATGAGCCCCGCTACGCCGCTCTCGTGTCCCGCTTCATCACTGAGCGCTGGACCTTGCGCTACTCGGGCGGCCTGGTGCCTGATCTCATTCATGCCCTTGTCAAGGGACATGGCGTCTATGCTTCGCCCGTGACCGCCCGTAGCGCTGCTAAGCTGCGCCGGCTGTATGAGCTGTGTCCTGTTGCTCTGATCATGGAGTGCGCTGGCGGGAGTGCTGTCGATTCGGCCGATGGCTCGCGCGTCCTGGGCCGCTCTGTGCTTGACTGCGATGAGAGGGGTGGCCTTGTGTGTGGTAACGTTGAGGATGTGGCCGAGGTTGTGAGCGCACTGCTGGGCAGTAGCCAGTAGCTATGTTTCCTCGAGTTAGACACATGATAGACTAGAACGTTAGACAAGAGACACGTGTGCATGACCAGCGGGCAGGGAAAGTAGTGCTTGTGACATTCAGCACTACAAGAAGACCATCCATCTATCGCATGTGTGGAAAAGAACCTCCAACGCCTGGCTGAAATACAGAGTGCAATGCCGGCTGTGTAGTCATGCGCGGTATGCTTGAGGGGTGCCCGCTGGCCTCCCCATGTCGTCTTGATCGTCGATTTTTCGTGAAACTCGTACCCGTGCCTCCTTCATGTCATCATTCGGTCATCCGTTCATCCGCTCTCATCTCCATCAAGATCCTTTCCATCGCGCTTGGCCTCAGGCTGGTCGTGCTGCTGCTCGTCGGTGGTAGAGTTCTTGGCAAGACGGGCTTTGCCGGCCGCCATGATCTTCTTGATGATGACCATCTGCCGGTCAAACTCCTCGATAAGTCCACTGTAGTCCTCCTTCTCGCCAGAGACGGATTTGTCGGCACTCTGCGAACCAGGGAGCGAGTCCGCGGGAAGGTCGTCGTCGTCGGTCATTTCCACACCGTGGAGCTTGAGCCACATGGTGCCGCCAATGTCGGCTTCGGCACCGGCCTTGGCGACAGCGGCAGCCGAAGACGAGTCATCCATGCGTGTAATCTGGGCCTCCGTCACGGCAAAGTCGCCGCTGATGCTCCCGGCCGACGCGACCTTCCAGCCGCCCGTGGGCTTGCCGGTCTTGGGGTCGGTGATGGGCTCGACGTCGACGAGGACGCCGTGCTCGCGCATCGGGTTGGCGCGGGCCGAGGCTGTGCTTGCGGTGTTGCGGGTATGGGCGTCGGCAAGGGCGGCGCTCAGGACGGCGGGATCATCGTCGGCGAAGATGTACTGAATGTGTGGGTGGTAGGTTTTCTCTGCGGAGGGGGATGCATCGCCAAACTTTGTGTTGTTGACGTGGACGAAGAAGCCCGCAGGGTCGAGCTTCGGGTCATTCGGCTGAGCGGAGGTAGGAGCAGTGGAAGCGTCGATGTTGGGCAGTCGGAACGATTGCGTGGTCTGGTGCTGCTGGTTCTGCTGAGATTCGGCCACTTGCGCCGAAGCCGCAGTGGCAGCCTCAAGCCGCGCAGTGGACTCGGCGTCGGCCATGATGGGAGCCTTGCGATAGTTGTTGGGATCCGGTAAGCTGGGATGGAGGAAGCCGCCGGGGCCGTTGGCGATCGAGGCTACACTTCGCCGAGGTCGATTGTGACGGGTGTTGGATCGTTTGGCATTGTACCGAGGTTGCGACGACCCTCGAGTGTTTGACGGATCCTCGTCAATGCTGGGGAGGGAGGGATTGAAGGGTGGCATGGTGTCGGCGCGGGATGTTGGGCTTTATCGTTATCGGAGCTCCTATCGTGTTATCGCCACGTGATGTTGTTGTGGGTGCGGTGGGGCGGCAAATGTGGCAGGTGGTGGAAGTGAAGCAAGTGCAGCATCTCACATCTGTTTAAGGTCACCTGAAAATTCCGAAAGCAAAACCAAGTGGGATGAATCAATGGTGTCTGGTATTTTGTTTGTTGCCTCGTGCAAAAGTGCAGGACAAGGCAGAAACATCACAGCTTGCCTCGACGACTAAGCATGCGGGCCATAAAGGCAACGTCGTCCATCCTCCGCCAGGCAGCTTTCCACAGCCTCCTCCAGCCCGCCATCCAGGCTGCCTGACCATGTGTACAGATAAAAGGGTATCAATAATGCAACTCCAAACTCCTCAAGTCCAGAAAACACCGTCCATCATGCTTGCTCCTGTGCCTGCTCCTGCTGGGCATTCGCCGCAATCCAAGCTGGATCAGATTCCTGGCCTGCCCACTCAAATTCTGGACGACTGTCAGCTTCCACTCTAGATCAGAAGAGGTGGACAACACGTACTCTGGCGACACATGGGACACTGGCCCTTTGCTGCCTCTTGCTTGATCCATTCTGAGATGCAGTGCTTCATCTCGTGTTAGTCGAGGCAACACTCCCCTCCTGCCAAGAGAACTCACCATGTGAAAGTTGTGACCGCATTTTCCAGACACTTCCCCTCGTCAGTACTTCACCTCCCCAAACCATGTACTACCATACTTACAGATGCTGCAGTCATCTCCTGGATACTTGCATGTAGGGCATGTACCGTCGAAATTAACCTGGCAGATGCCGCACACGTCGTCCTCCGGGAGGTTCCACCGCCACGTAGCCACCGTGTCCCAGCGGGTGATCTGGACCTTCATGTCTGCGGGCGGAAGTTGTAGTCGTAGTCACTGCTCTCTTGTCTTCAGGGTCCTCTTCTGACCGGGGGGAAATGAGTCGAGATATGCGTCAGAGGAGCTGTTGTTTTGATGACCAACACCGTGGATCAATAGGACGGCGAGGCTCCAGATGGGCTGCATGATGAGCTAAAGGGAAACTGTGGGCCGCCAATCGGGCATGTGAAG